TAATATTCAATAATACATTTTTTTATAAAATTTATTTGCTCTTGTTTTTAGATTCAGCAATAACTATTCGTAAATATGATTTAAATCATAAGTATATTGAAGGATGACAAAATTTCGCGATAGAAAATATTCAACGACATACATAACCGTAATACTTTTCTATAAATTATTAAACTTTATCTCATTCGGTTAATTTACCTGTTTCTTGTTAACCGATAGAATTCCGAGTAACGTTTGTTAATTTTAATTTACGAACATAATCTCACAGTTCGATATGTATAAAAATGTAGATATTGTATAAAGTTAAATAAATTCTACTTTATTTTGTGTTTTTCATTAATAATATTTCACATTATGAATAGACGGTTATACTAATTACCATTACATTATAATGCTGTATGATCGATGTTAATATGTAAATTTTTGGAATAATACAATATTATATTAATAGTCATGTCGTGAAAGCGGTCATTTGCATTATATTTCTTCTGTCGATATGGGGTTGGCTTCTAGTAAGTTAATATATTTAATTATAAAATTATACTCAAATCTGTAAGTTGACTTTTTATTGTCATTCTATAACTGTCCATTAATTAGTTAACTTTCCTAGATTATATAATTGTCGATTAGTAATTAATGTATATGAAGTCAATGGTATTAATTTTCTTCGTGACAGTTGTATAAAAAATTACATGATTTTTATTTTTTTTTGCTCTTTCTTTGCATGTATCTATATTTTTGCCATAATTTCCATTTTTTATTACATTTTGAAATTTTCCATTCTATCAAGATTACTAGTTTTTTGTTTTGTTAGTGAAAAATATAATATTTTTGTGTAATGCTTATCGGACAGTCATTTGAAACACGATTTGAAAGTATCGATTAGTTGTATTTTACGTTGGTTAGCGCTTCGATTGCATTACAAATTGTTATATTAAATAACTGAATAGACTTTTACAATGGCTTAATTAATATTTAATGTTATAGATATTTAAAATTTAAAAAGAAATGACCTAATTATTTATGTAATGAATATATAATGATGTAAACCTTGTAAAATATCCACGAACTTGTAATAATTAAATTAATTGCGAAATTCGTAATAATATTAATATAAATATATAACTATATTTATATTAAATTATTACTTTTGTTAATATTCTTTAAATTTCAACTTTCAGCTTAGAATAATTGGTCGCAAAGTATAATTGTATGTAAATATTTGTATGATGCCACCATTGTAATACATGTATGGAATTTCTTGTTATCAACAGTATTGTAAATATTTATACCTTGCTGACACGTATCGTACTAGAAATACATACATGGTCTTGTATTACTGGATGTGATATAGTAATAAAGTAATTACAGTCTATACGTTCCACATTACAAGTTTTAGTATGATTTCGAATAACCTGTGTTAGCCTTGAAAACTGCTAAACAATCCCGAAACTTTGATAAAAAAAAATTTATATTGTTTATCGAAAAATTTAATATAGTTGCTTCTAACAAAAGGTGGTTCTAATATATCTTCATAATCTTGATTTTAATTAAACTTTATAATAAAATGTGTTCAAAAATTGTATTAAATCATAAGTATAATTATAGAAACTGCGCACTAACGGTTATCCTTAATGAACTATTTTTTGAAAATGTGACCAATCCATCTCCATCGCTGACTTGTTTATGTATAATTGTTAGTTAATTTGTAAGTAAAGCTTAAGCTTACTTCATAGGCACAAATTTATATTTATTCAGGCGTTAGCTGATAATAATTCTTAATACTTCGCTCGATGCATAGCGCAATAAATTTGAATAAATCAAATATAATGCACGTTAAATATCGATAGAAATCATATATAGATGCTCAAACTTATCTTCCATTGCTATTTATCTCCATTTTATCAGTGTGTAGATATTAATTATAATTATTAATAAAAATTCTTTGCCACGTTTCTGTAACTATATAGTACTTTACGTTTTCTATCTTGTATTATCTTGTATGATTGCTTAATTACATTTTGTAATAAAGTATCATCTGAAATACTTATTTTCACGATAATAATATTGAAATAATGCTACTCGAGTTTTATATAATGTAAAGCGTAATCTTTGTGTTGATTCTCGTCGGTGTCCTAGAGCCGATTGAGTGCATTATCGTCGGAGTAATAGTTGTACATATGAAATGTGAATGAGTATATGAGGGGGACAGTAAAGGGGTCAAATTTGTTCGGTCTCGAACTATATGAACGACATTCATATAGCAGCTGAGGTACAACAAATGCACTGAATTGAGATCACTTGATTTTACAAATACGCTTAACAAATGTTCCAGTTCGTGTTTTGCATTTCGAATGTATCTAGTAGATGTAGGTGGGTGATGATCTATGCACGAATACTTTCACGTAGAGTATGCGTAGGAATTTTCTTCTCTTCTTTCTTTACGTGAGAACTTCTTGTACAACTATGGAACCCTTCATTCTGTTCCAGGAGTTTTTCGCTAATGATGCAACATGATTAAGATTGCGTAAGATAATTTTATAAGTTTGTTTTTGCAGAAAATCATCGGTTCTGGAAATTAAATTGTGGAGTTGTTTTAACGAATTGGATCAGTTCATTTTATTCAACAAAATATAACATATTTTTATATTTTGTATTATATATTTTTCTTTATTCAAAATCATTTATTATTCTGAATTTATTTTTATTATAATTATAGTCTCAAATGCCAAATATAGAAGATAGTATATTTTAAAATATAAATAAAAGGTGATCTTGACGTTTCTTCAGTCATCACCGAACATGGTGCCTGATCTGAATTAGATTATTTTCGTATTATCTAGCAAATTCTCCACACAGAAAAGTGACATTGACTTAGCCTAGACGAAGTGTTTGATTATATCTATATAGAATTTGAAAAACTTTTGATAATTGTATTTATTTTATTGTATTTATCAATACAATATATTTATAAATTATTTGCATTTCATTTATATTTTCTCATCAATATTATTAATGGACCATCTACCTCTTTTATTCTTCAGTATTATGATTAAGATTAAGTTTATATTTTTAATTATATCTTGTAATTATTTATGATTCTTGAATTCATCATTTAAAATTAATTTTAATAATTGTATTTGTCTAATTGTAATTCGTTATATTATTTTTAGAATTAAAACAGATAGGAACAGATTCCATCGGTGTAGAAGTGAAAAGGTAAAAAGCTATTAGTACTAAGATTCATTTTATATCATATTTTCCATTATATAAAAAAAGTATTTTGATTTGCTACGTTTTCACCTGAAAAATTTATGGACATATTCATCAATGCCCGTCAAATATTCAATAATAATGGTTTGACTAACATATTCGACGTAAACCTTTTGGATTAAATATCGTGAAAGCCAGAAAATTCAGTTATACAACATTTTCTGTTCTATAATACTAATTGTTTTCAAATAACTAGAGATGAAATATGTATTACTAATCAATATAGTCAAACATTTCAATTATATCAAACAGTCAAACTTGATTAATGGATTCTTTAATAAAAACTATATTTTACAACAAAATCATTTCATCGCAATTAACTAAACATGAAAATTCATATTATAAAATATCTTAATAAATATGAAAATAATTTTTAACTATAAGTTTTAGCATATAATAAAGGCAATAATTGTGAATTAACGAAAATATTATATATTTTCTCAAGTTTGCTTAAATGGTTGAAAAAGATATTAATTTAACGATATCCTACGACCTTAATAGTATCACAATACTAGACACCAAATTTTAACGCACATTTATTTTCATGTAATATTCTTACAAAGCCAGAGTAATATATTAAAATTTGATATACAATTATACAAGCGTACCGTCAGTAGTTTATGTAAAATACCACTGTTTAATCGAGCTCTATTTAAACCAATGAATCCGTTTCCAGTACTATTAAGTAATAAAAAAATATGTAAAATTAATTTATTATTATGGGTAAAACATAAGCATGTTTGATATATTTTACGTACATTATGTTTTTGATATAAAAGCATCTAAAAAATTTTAAGTTGAAAAAAATATCAAACCATTAATATAAAATGAATTTTATATTTGAAGCATTAATGCTAGAGATTATAGAAATGTTGATAAGAAAAACCATAAACATCCGGCTAAAATAAAATGTATGCGATAAGAGCATTGCTTAATCATATCATTGTTAGTTTATCGTATATTTAGTTTTAAATTACATTTAAGTGTGCTCACGATGCATAATTGAAATTTGGAAGGAATAAGGCATCGATTACTTAGCTTTAGAATAGTACTTGATATAGTGCAAAAATCAGGTTAAAATGGCATGTGTTGCATTAAAATAATAAGTTTTTTTTTATTTGTGAGAAAATTGCCAAAACCCTCCAATGTGATATCTCAAATATAAGCTATAAAGAGAGTATCCATAATACAGTGCCGAATAATCGATAAAATGAGAAATCTTTATCGTAAATGTTGTAGGTTAAGCTCGACTATAATTATTTAATGCGTTTACATAATTTTGTAATAATAGTATAAAAACTTTTGTATAAATGAGAATTTTCACGAATTTCATGGTAAAAGCAAAGTTTATTAGCGTGAATAACAGCCATACTTTTTTCTTAAATAACGCGCAGGATATTTATTTCCCTTTTTTATAAATAATACATGTTGGCCAAATGTATATATACACAAATATATAATTTAAAGTACATTTGTAAAGCGTCTCTAGATACGAATGAGATATATTTTAATTATTTATATGTTTACTTTGACTTTTTGGTATTAAAATTACCTTCTGCAATCCCTCATAACGATGTATATATACATGTGCGCGCGCGCATATACGCATGTATAATAGATATGGGCAAATTAAAACATTGAAGTATCCGAGGAGTTGAAGCTCGATTCTCGCGAGCCAGTAGTAGTCGGCCATTGAGGTATTTCTCCATGGGTATAAATGTTGAGGCAGTGGGAGAATGTTTGTATGTAAAGCACGTGCGTGCATTGGATCGAACCATCGGTGCCCGTGGCAACGATGATGTGTCTGCCCTTAAAGCTCGTTTAGTTGGCACTCGCTTCTCTATTTTCCAATTCATCGGTGAACTATGCCGCGGCTGGTCAGCAGCACAGGCCTCATTGCCGCAAGGACTCGACCCATACGCCGACCCAAACCCAAGGTATGCTCACACCACTTTCCCTTGGACTATTACGCTTATCTGCACTCGGATGCTTTTGCAAGCTGCGTGACAGCGGATTTGTCCCCACTCGGCTACTATTGAAAATACCACCGTCGAACATTGTCTGTCTCACTGGTTATTACGATCATTAATAGCCAAGTGTGTAGATAATGAATTTGGAAATATGTGACTGTATATTATTTGCTTAAGTAGTGTCGATCTTATGGTATTTGCATCGACTTAAAAAACCACATTGAAAGATCCGTAAGGTACACAAGACTATTATATCTCTCAATATGTTTTTAATGACACTATCAATCTGTCATTCCATATTCCATTAAATACAATTGATCGTTTTTGTTGCAAGTTATATTATATTTCGTTATTATGTATGTTGTTAATGTAAAATTACTATCGACACTCTCTAGAGTAATAATTAGCGTTAATCCTCAAACTACTCCGGATGTAATGATTTTTCTAATTTATTTTATCGGTATTTTCTTAAGATACAAATACTCTTTGTTTATAGCATCTGTAGAAAATATGAACTTTGCTTTAACGTATGAACAAAATTATATTTTTAAAAATAAAGAGGATTAGAATGAATGAACGAATTAAAAAATTTTTTTTATAAGCTTTAGATCAATGTAAATAATTTTTTTTAGACACTAACATAAAATTTGATAAATAGGATCTAATTTATATCTTCGATATTGAAATATATTTTCATGAATAAATTCTCAAATGAACAGTTATTTATCCGTTTCAATTTTAAATGAAAAACTTTATATGTTACTACATTCCACTACTGTCTCTTATTTCATTAAATTGAATTTGAGTAAGAAACTTATTTTATTTTTACATGCTTATGTAAAATCGATATTATTTTGATATTTTATTTTGTCAATTATAAGATATTTTTCTACATCAATCCGAAATAAAATTCAGCTCATTAATTGAATCACCAATATAAAATACGATATTATGATGTAAGAAATGGATTGTCACAAATTTCTTACATAAATTTTGATTATTGTAAACTTTTCTAGAAAAAAAACATAGATACACATTACTTTTTCCTAAGAAGTATTGAAAATATGGCGTTCAAATAAATTTTTTCATATTATTATTTATATTTATCGATTAGATATTCGTAAAAATTATAATTAATTTACCGAGAAAAAATATCTTCTAATAATGTTTTTATATAGTAATATTTTTATATTATATATATATATATGAGTGCAAGCACTCTATTGAAAAAACATTGATAATTTTTCAATAACATTTACTGGCAAGTCGATTCTTTTATTATTTGTATATAAAGTGGAATAAATTTTTAGCTATGACAGTTACTTCAACATTCATACTATGTAGTGATTCTTTTTAATATTTTTTTTTATAAATATAGACTTTAAGATTTATTTAAATTTACTTTTAGAGATTATAAAAATTTATAATTACTCGTCAAATTTTAACTTGAAACTTTTAAAATTCTAATAAGCCATTTTTAATTGTAATAAATAATTTACTATTAAATTATCTAAAAATATATAAATAATTGTTTCTCATTTATTCTGTTATTATAAATATAAATAAAGGTGATATTACGAATAAAATACAGAGTATAATACAATAATGAAGTAAAAGTAATTGTATTTTCAATGAATAATCAAATATTGTTATAAATAATTGTCTGTTAAAAATTCAATTAACTTGATGAATAATTTCTTAATTAAAGCCTATGAATTATGAAATCAATCTATTGATACTTCAAAAATCGAGGAAAAAAATTAAAATAATTTATGAATATTTAACTTCATATAACCGTATATTACGTCAACATTGTGATGCTCTGTGTCAAGATGGTCCACCGGGTACAGAGTATCACTCATTTGGTTGTGATTATTGTGGAGTTATAAGTATTACTTGCTTGAAATTTCAAAGTATTGGAAAAAAAAAATAATAATTAGAATTTTTTACTAATTAGTAAATAGATCCAATAATATTGGGTCTTTATAATTTTATTATATAGTCCTGTGCATTAATAATAATAATACCATAATTTTTTAAATATTAGACTATAATAGCGAATTGTATCTATGATTAAGTTATTTACTTATTTATTTGTTACTTTATTGAAAAATCAGCATATGAAAAAAATGTACGTTTTCTTTGGACATTTATAAATAACGAATTGCTTTGCAGAAGCTCGAACTTCTCGGATCATCAATACCAGCACCATTCATTTTACGCCCATTCGCTGGTCTTTTCAATCCATATTCTTACAGCTGTTCAGTTTTCTGTAATCATCCAGCTAATGGAGATGCCAAGAAAGTCGTGCGTCGCGCAAAGGATATGTGGGTGAGTTGTATTTGATCAATTATGCTTAATTTAAAAAGATTGCTTAAATTTCTTGAAATATGTTGCTTTCAATATTCAGTTTTTACTATAAAATTAGAACGATAAGCAATTAGTGCAGAATAAATAGTTAACGGTGTTCTTAATGTATGCTTATAATACATTTTTATTGGAGTTTGTAATATTGAAATCGTATACCCATAATATTGAGATCTAAGAGTTTTAAAAAATAAATACTCGTTTAAAAACTCATTTATAAAAACAAAAGAAAAAATTTTCCTTACCAGTCGATTTATATGATATTAAAACTGAAATTATCGATAACAATATTATCATATTCGAATGATTATTAATAAAAACTTATTAAAAAACCGAGCAAATAAATAAATAAAATAATATTAGATTTTAATATAAAAATTAAAGATTAAATATTGTAATAAATAGAATCCGAGAGAAAAATATTTCTTAAGCTGTCTATTATCATCTTATGAATTTCCAAATTTAATCAAACTTTATATAATTATGTACGTATATACATAATTATTTGCACATTTACGTTGAAGCAATACGTCCGATAAACATTTAATAAACTTAAAGAGGCTCACTACTCGTAAATTTTTTTTAAGGTAATGATTGTGTTATTTTATATTATATTATTATTATATTATAATATAAGATCGTTATGTAATCAAAATTAAATGTAGAGGCTCAATTAATAATTAATAATTAAAATACTTGTACATACATCTTCGAACTTACGATGAAGATTGTGACGTTTAAAACTTATAATTATATAAATAATAAAAAAATATATAATGCTTAATTGATATCAGTTTGTAAGATCAACTGTTGTCACATTATATAAATTTATTCGGCATATATAAATACACCTTTACTCTTTGCGAATAATAATTTTCAATCACATACGACAAGGAAATGAGTTTTTATCTCTAATTACAGGCAGCAAGAAGATAATAAAAGCAAATAGCAGTCTTGTTATTTTTATAGACATTATTGTCTATTTACAATATTGAATGTATTATGTTTGATATCATCATCACATTTTCTGTAAAATAATAAATACCAATTCCATTGATGATGCATATAAATCAGTATATAATTCAAAATGATTTAAAAGAGAGGAATTCGGATGCATTTCAAAAATTAAATTTTGCACGTTGCAGATATTTACAAACGGTAAAATACTCTTTGAAATATATAAGAATTTGATAAGTATTCAAACTATTTGATATATTAGTTATGCGTATACATGTATCATTAGGTTTACATTTAGAACTGAAGAAAGAATACTGAATCAATTTTCGATAATTTTTCTGTCACTATTATGTACTCTATACAAATACTAAAAGATCGTTAATATTGTACGTAATATTATAGCTTTTTTATTTGAACTATTTCGTCTTATAATTATTCATATTATTATATTTTACTGCTTATGTCTTTAAAATTCTTTTTTCAACTTTAAACAATTTTTTCAGCATAAGATTTTTAACAAGTGACACTATCTTTTTCACTACCTTCAATATAAAATATAATATTGTGCAACAACATGTTGTAGAATATTCAGATCTGTACGTTGTATAAATGAAATATTGTTGCATATCTGCTTAAAATTATATTACAAGTTTAATGTAATATCAACTTTTCAATATTTTTATATTAAATTTTTATTTGAAAAAAAAATAATTCTAAAAATATCTTTTAATAATAAAAACGAGGAAAAATTTCTTATCTTTATATTTTATATTATCATTCATTAATGTTTAAATATTCTATAAATCTTTTTTTAATTTGTAAATTTAATGGAATTTCAATAATAAAAATATTAAGCTCATAACTGTATATAACGTTTCATACATATGAAAATTTCAGAATTGAAGGGTTGAAATCTTTTAAATAAATCATAGACTATATATTTTTATAAATTAGTATTAATTTTAATGAGTTTTAAATGGTTGTTTGTGAAATATATTTTCATTATTAAGTGATCATAATACATATATCTGTAATATTTCATATGATATATATTAATCTAAACATATTTAACGATTTGTAAATAAAAAATTTGTCTACTTGGTTTCCATGTTTTGCATATCATTATTTGAATTAATAGTTTCAATTGAGATGATTTTGATAAATCATATTATAATTCTAATAAGTATAAATTTTTACCAATTAAATTATGTCATTTATTGTATATTTATAAAGGGAGTAATGCCACATATATTATTGAATATTTTATTATTTATTTTCGTAAAATACTAGATAGATATAAAATTGCTATTGTTATTTCATCTTTTATTTACATCAATAGCAGTAATCCAGAATACTAGTTTTTACGATAAAGGAGAACATAAATAAACAAATAAAATTAGAAAAATGGCAATATTTCAAAATTGTAAGATGATTTCTATAAATTTCAAAAACTTGTTCAACAGTTCAAGTACTTTCAAACAATCACAGTTCATGTTATCATTGTATAATAATAATATTTAAATTTTAATATATTTTATTGATCGCTTTTCAATTTATTTAATTCGTAAGGATATTCATTTGAAATTCATTTAACTATACATATAATCGTAATAAAAGTGTGCATTAGAATTTTGAAAAAAAAAAAAAAACGAGAGGCTTTGACTATTACGTTATAGTATTACATAATTTACATAAAACTCTTTAAATTTCAAAAAAACCTCATCCTCTTATTTTCTTAAGCTGCACATAATGCGGATATTCTTTGAATAGAAGTTTGCAATTCCCATAACTCAAGATTATTAACTTTGCAGAATTAAGAAAAAATCGTGTCTCTTCATATTAAGCGCCGAATAGTTCCAAAGCTCGTAATGATAATCTTTGAATTTACCTCCACGATGTACATAATCGGCATAAACGTAAAACCATCAACTTTGATAATTTTATGAGCAGATATAAAACAAACCAGCTTCTCTTCTCATTTTTCAAATTTGTTTCCGTTAAGAAGTTACTCCAGATTTGCACTTTGAGTCATATACGTGGAATATCCCGTAAATCCTCATTGTTCACGCATACGAGCCTTTTTGGGTGCTTCAAGGGTCGGGGATTTCCGACTGGGTTTGAATTGAAATTGATTGCACACTCGCCGAAGGCCTTCCGATGCGTTTCGCGGGATCCGAGATACTATGTTCCCAAGATAGTTTCCTTTCTTTCGTTGCATTAAACTGTTCGCGACTTTTCAATGAATGTTTCTTTTGGTAGTAGGTAATGTTAAGGGGGCCAATGTAATGCCGATTAAATTTTGTAGTAAGTAATTTATATGTCAAGACTTTTGGCATTTCAGGAATATATTTCGACTCATTTATTTCGTTCCACTTTATATTTGAAAACAATATTCTCATTAAGTACATATCTTCACAGAATTATAAATTCGACATTCTAATATTTCCAATACACTACAATTTCTATCAACTTCTTACTTACTGTCTCAACTTTATATTTCGTCATTTGATGAATTATTTTTTTAATTTTAAAATTAATAGTAATAAATTCCCAAAGCAGTAGTGTGAGTAGTACTTATTTTAAGCAATTAAAAAAAGCAAATATTTCAGTTTTCAAACATAAGACATTAAAAATTACAATACAACATTATAATAAAAGGCACGATAATATGAATTTTAAAAAATATTTTAAAAGCTATATTCTTAAGCAAATTTAGTATTGAATGCGATAATAAATTAGTTTATATGCTATTCAAAATTGATAAAACGAAAGCTTTATGTACGTATTACAAGTTAATATCAATTGCATCAAAATATCAATTGTGCATGTAAATATGAATTGGGTTTATTTGACTTGATAAGGAACTTGATATAGACGGCAATTTCATAAGATCTATTACTATTATTGTCTATTATTTTTCTTATATAGAAGTTATTAACAATTTTATAGAAAGTGCTATTTAAAGGATGATTTTAAGGTAGGTCTTGAATTAATATTATTGTTCAAACTGACAAAAAAGATAGACCAAATTTAAGTTGAGTGCTTAGGGGAGAAAAAGGTGAATGCGTAGCAGAAACATCGTATTGGTGTTGATCAATATTTCTAAAAACTTCTAGAAAACTGCTGTCCGTGCATATTTTTAGTCTCTATCCAGTAAAAATAACTCAATTCGTGGTTCGTAGGCGAGCGAGGGTAAGGCCTTACAACTTCCGGTGGAAGTACACGAGGAGAAACCCGGCGAGTCAGATGCCTTGGACAGTACGACAGTTCCAGAAGAGCTGTTCCGACGCTACACGGAGATGGATTCGCGATCGGCCAGCCCCCAGCATCCCATCCACCATGAATCCTTTCGAGACGACAAAGGTCGCCCGAGTCTCATACTCGATCTACGGGCGAGCCCTCATGACGCGCAGGTACAGGACCGAACCAATGATTTGAATATCACATTTAAGATGAGATTATCAACGTTACGTTTCACTTGTACGAAAATAATTCATCATAATTAAAAACAGTCTTTGCATTTATGTTTACTAAGCGAGCCCTACAGATAATAATGACATTATCTCTTCATTATATATTTTTCTTTCATTTAATAAGACTCGAAGAAAAAATAGCAGCATATATCATTCTTATTATTAACGAAAGAATTAACAACTTACTTCAGAAGAGTGAGACTCTAAGCTGGCATGCATTGACACTCGAGCCAATGTCGTGCTCGCGAAGGGGCGTTTTTATAGAGCCGGCAAGGAAGAGTCCGCGTAAACTTCCGCTGCCCTGGCGTCGTCATCACGTTGCAACGACTGCAGCTTCATCACCCGTTCACACGATTCCCATTCTAAAGGTAAGAGAATACACGTTGGCCCATTACACGAGTTGAGAGGAAGGTCAAAATGACGTTTCAACTCTCATCGGGGGTGGGGTCATTGATTATGAACGTTGGTGGGAAGGGGGAGGGCACTGAGATGAGCATTTTGCTTGTAATTGTCAATCTGGAGCATATATCGATTCAACCAAATCGCGACAATATTGTTAAGTCGGTGAAGTGGGATCATAACGAGGCAGAGATAAGACGCTGTAAGACGTGAGGATTTGTTAAGAAGCGCATAAAACTCGCTCTTTTGTAAATAATCGGGTATGGAGTGCGCGCCACTCATGAAAAAGTACTGACATATAACAACGCGAAGTAGGTGAGCGATAGCCTGAGGACAAATGTCGCACGCAACACCGATGATGAAAAGGAGAACGAAGAGGAGAGCTCAAGGGAGGAGGAGGTACCGGTGCGTCGTAAGGGAAAACTCCGACGGAAGAAGCGCAAGTGCAGGCGAGGCTCGATATATGGACAACAGACGGAAGTGCGTGACCCTCCCGAGCCGCTCGAGACGCTGGTCTCACAGATTGTCCAAGGATCTAGGCGCGAATCGTTAGACTTTTTTTTTATTGTTGTTATTAGCTATTGGAATATTTGGAAAGTCACTTTTGTGAGCTTGTTGGAGAGCTTTTTTAGAGCTTTTAATGCTTGACTCGAACATTTTCTTAAATTATCACCAATGAACGCTATGGAAATGTTGATATATGCGGAGCTGATCGGATTTAGTCACGGAAAGCCGAACCTCTAGTTGATTTGTATCTCGCAAAATACTAGCTTTAACGTCTTTAAACATAGTTTAAAAATGTATTGCACTATATCATATTTTAATCTGCCTTTTGCTTGAGTTCAACAAGATTTACAATTGCTGTATAGAATTGATACGAATTGATAATAAACCAGAACATATATATATATATATATATTAAAGTAAAAAAAATTACAATTGATGTAATATAAATGTTAAATGTTGATTTTAAATAATTTTGACATTTAGATACTTTTTTATATTTCATATAAAATAAAAATTTACTTCAAATGATTTCTTTTATTGTTCTTATATTCTGCTGTAATTTTTCAAACTTTAATATTGCTTAATTGAGTTTTCTTTTGATTAGTAAACTTTTACCAAATATATTTGTAGTATATAAATTTGAGCTTTTAGTAGTTAATTTTGTACTTTTGTGCTTGTTTTAAATAAATGTAAACGAATAATGATACTAGCGCACCATTTGTATAATATTAATTTAATTATTGTATATATTATTCATAATTAAAATAAATAATTTACGACCTATGTGTATGTGTGTATATAATTTTTTCTAATATTTCACTGTGAATGAATGCGATGATACCACAATAAAATAAAATAATTAGCAATTACAGCTTATAGTTAGCTGAATTACAAGCATAAAAATAAAAAAGCCTTAAATAAAAGTACCAATATTGTATATTGATGAAAGATATTTTCATTAACAAATTATGTCTTGTAATAGGCATTCATTCAAGCATGCTGTTATAAAAATTGTCTTGTTTAGTACGCGTTCAAATTTTGAAGAAATCAAGAGACTGTCTTTAGAGAAGATTATATTACCGGCTATTAAACATGAAATACCATCAAGCTTTCTTCCTCCGGACATTATAAAAGAATTAAGCAGAGAATTGGACCAGGGAACGATCGAGTGGGAATTCAACGCAAAGGTAAATGAAAAATTCATGCATAAAGTAATATAATATTTCAAAGTTGTATATCTTTCTATGCGTGATACTTAATGCTAAATTTTATTAATTAAATATCGATTAATTACATAGCTATATAAATACTTACAAAAATAACATTATTTTTAAATGTGATTTTACACAAATTATTATGTTTCATTTACTTATAATATCAATGTATTAAAAGCAACATATTATCGAGAAAATAGCCTAGGATATTAATTTTTTTTTTTTTTTTTTTTTTTTTTTTTTTTTATTTGAGATATGAGAATTTTATATACATTTTCGTTGTAGCGGAGATTCGCCTTGGAAGAAGTTTTGAGAGTACTGGGTGACTTCCATCCAACCTTCGGAGGCTCTTGTCAAAATACGCTACACATACAATTTCAGAATATTCCACGTCTGTTTTATCGACAAAGCGCCAGATTTGAACTCCTCGGCAGTCAATCCCTTATCGGTAAGTGGGAATTAAAAATAATATATTGCTAAACTTGGTGATATTGAAACATTCATTTGGATTATATATTTGTATAGTCCTTCGTTTCTTGACAATTCGCGTTAAAAGTAATTTTGCTTCTATTAATAATACCTCTACTACGCAAAAAAAATATTAAAGATTATAAATACTTTTTCACGCGCCGTTTATTCATATAATTAACAAACGGTTTATTTTTAGTTCTTTTGAGCATAATATGATGAAAAATATTACAAGTAATACAAACTAATTATTTAGATTCATATTTTTCAATTACAAATTATTTAGTGCTAAAAAAAAAATTATTATTCATCCAATATAACATTTGCACAAAAATTGATCAAAAAGATTATTGATAAAATATTTACCATACAGCTGTTAGACAATCAATCTAGCATTGACATTCATATTTCGGCCTTCTCGGAAATTAAAAATTCTCTTTGAAATGTGGAAAATGTTAAAGTCATAAAATGTTAACAGGATTGAAACCTGTTGATTATCTGAGCCAATACGTGTACGTGAACGACGTGCGTAAAATGATATTTGGCCGCGCTTTCAACAAGTACCGCGAAGAGACCATCGGTGGTCCTCGCTATCTTATCAGCAAGCGCATTTTTGAGGCTCTGTCCGACGTGATGGGCTGGGCCTTGCTTAACGACGAAGTCACCTTCCTCGAACGCAGCCTCGGTGCTATACAGGATAAGCTAGACTTTAGGACTTGGTGCGGCCTGTGCGCTTTCACCGAGAGGAGCCTCCCAGCGCTGCTCCCCCAGGAGGAGGATCCGCCTTCTTGGCTGGAGAAGGCAGACTTTGAGATGCTTGACTGTAGATTGAGCAGAGTCGAAATAGACGAGAAACTGGCGTCAATGCTCCTACTTATTCGTGACCGCTGAGAGACTAATTAATTCTTCTATCGAATTCTGATTCGTTGTGAATTTTTTAAATATTTCCAACATCTTTCAAATCGTCGTTTAGAACATTGATGAGAAATGAATGATAAAATTAATGAAAATAAAAAATGAAGAAAACAAAATTACATAATAATTTTGAGACATTTTTATTATTAAATAATAAAGTGTCGTTTGCGATTATAATTATATTAACTGGCGCAAGTAAATCCAACATTACAAAAACGATAATAATAGCGCGAAACATTTTTCAAAGAAAAAATTAATTTTTATCATTTTACAATTTTAAATGCTATAAAGTGTAATCAAGTAGCCATAAATAATTGAAATAACGAATACTTGTTTTAAACATAATTTTTATTATACATGCTTCTAGACCGTCTAATTTATTACTTGCATTGTGCATATGAATGAAAATTCTAGCATTGAGTTAACTAAATTGTTTTAACACATAATACACAACTATATATGGATAAAATTACTAATGGAATAAAAGTCATTTAAATCAATGTATTTGAATCAACTTAAAGTGCATAGACATTTTTAATGTAAAATTATTTATATATTGACAATTTATATCATATACAGTATCATATACCATAATTAAAATAATAAAAGTAATTTTTTTTTTTTAAATAAATTTTAAAAAATTAGAAATAAAAGTAAAACTTTATTATTAAATTCTGCAACAAATTCCAATGTTTAACTTAAAAATAATAAATTCACATAATCACATGAAACTAATCGATTTGTTTTTCATTAATGTTTACGAGCAAATTAATTTATATTTCATTATTCTCTTTAATCATTTATTAAGTTCAATGTTCATTTACTAAAGTACAGATAACTTTAAAATCAGATTTTTCAGTGATGCTTGAACTATAGGTGTATATATATATATATATATACCTTTACAACAGTAAAAGTGTATAAAACAAAATAAAAATAAATAAATGAGTTGTTAAATGAATAATTTATTATAAGCTTCATGGAATTAGCAATGCATTGAGAACGAATATTGATTATAATGTATCACAAATTTCTTAATTTATAATGAACGAAGATAATAATTCAGTATCTCCGTAGGTATTTAATTTTGAAAAATTTTATGATTTTTTCAAATTTAATTTAAAAAATGTTATTAAAGAAAAAAATTAGAATATAACAATTTTATAATATTATATAAACATATTTCGAAAAAAAAAACCAAATATTTTTGTATTTGTCAGTTATAATTACACAAAATTTAAGCAGAACAAGTTTTACAAAAAGATTGTCCATGTATTCAACTTACACGAACTAGTGTCTTTAATAAGCTGCATGAAGACAGGAACCCATAAGCTTTACCAAATATTAAGTAATTTGGCCGTGGAATTATCGTACTCGAATCACAATTATGTAAACAATCCAATGAAATAATGAATATCTGAATAAATAAATAAAGTATACTTTAAGAAAAATCAAATCTATTCAAATGAAATGATAAGCGAAAAAGGCAATCGTTGCTTTAAAGACAAGGGACGAAAATACCTCTTTCAGACTCCAAAATTGATTAATTTTATTTTATTTTCTTACACTTTTTTCTTCTCACTTAAATTTAATATTATTACGTGGTAAGCAGATTGACAATCCTTTTTCGTAACTCTTGTAATAATTAAATTTTATGTTAAAATTCTTTATTTATTTATTTATTTATACGTTTATTAAGTATTTATTTTGGTATTTGCACACCTTTCTTATTAATATCATATTGTACAATATGATACGAAAAGTTTGCCGTCGTACTAAATATATCTAAGAATCGTTCAAAAAATATAAAAGAAATTGTTGTCATTGTGTTAAAGAACCATTCGCCAATGATGCAACATCATTATTAGCTGAAAATAATAGTAAAATGAGTGAGTTTAAATAAATGATCTTATAAATGTCATTAAATAGAATAATGAAAAAAAACTTACTGAGTGACGGTACTAAGTTTTAAAATAGTTTTAAAGTTATGCTACTATATGCGTTTTTATTTATTGCCTCAATAAAAATGTTTGCGTGATTTTAAATGATCGTTACTTTTATAATTCCATGTATGCTGGTTTTAATAAAGTCACACTATGTTTTATATAACTTGATATTGTAATTAATCAAGTTTTAGACCATAGTTTTAATATCTTGGATAAAGCTACTGTTTGATTGCTTGATATTTTAATCCTAGCTGTTAAAAAATATATATATATATATATATATATATATATATATATACATATATATAAATCAGCGTAAGATATCTTTTATTACATACTTATAATCTTCTAATATTCAATCAATATGTATTTATTAATGTGTATTTATTAAACACAATATTGTAAGATCATTAGAAATAATATAGAACTTTAAAGAAAATTTAGTTTTGCCAACTTTGTTCTATTAATGGAATTAACAGTTTTTTTTATACATGATTATAGAGTGTATACAGATTCCTTAATTATACTTGCTAAATTGATAGAAGCCCTTATCCTATCGTCACTTGATTTTAACAATTATACCAATCATGTATTTTCCCTTTCAGTACTTCCCTATATATATATATATATATATATATATATATACAAAGTCTGCATCAACGTATTCATGTTTTTATGTTTTATTGTCGATTTGAAGTCTTAAAGTATTTAATACACAACAAACATATCAAGTTTTATGACTGCATAGTATAATATGGATATTGGAGATACTACATACTGCTGGATTAACTTAATAATAGTTATATAAAATAATCATGAAAATAACTAATCTATGACTAATAATAAAAGAAAATAATATTTGGTAATTCCTATTGAATGAATTAAAATTTATTAATTTAGGGCTAATCTGTTTAATATGATTGCAAATGTGGGAAGATTTTAAATGATATAATATTCGTAGTAATAAATTATAAATAAGAAATGTAATAAAAGAAAATAACGAGACAATCTGGATTTCACAATATTAAAATAATAATTAGTTTTTCTACGATACTGCTAATTAATAAAATATTTAATTTTGCAGTTTGTTATATAATTAAATAAAATATTTACTATTATAAATATTATAACAAATGAAAAGATATTTAATAATATTTTTTTTTACATATTCTAAATATAGCAAAGAATATTATCATAATTACGCGTATAGGATTAAACTGATTTAAAATTAATTAGCTGAAATAATTGATGATAGTTTAATTATAATTATGAAATTTCCATCAGATTCATTCATCCATACACAGGGTATATACAATAATTAAAATACTACTTCATTATGTTAATATAATTTCATTATTAACAGTCCTTTACATTTATCATGATATGAAGCTTCTCTGATAGTTATAGTATGAGTGGAGGAGAGTTTTTAAGATAGAATTTTATAATTTCTAATTTGAACGTATCATTGGATTTGATTCATGTTACTTTAAACAATAATTGTGCTTATTTGTTATTAAGAAATTGTAATTTTAAAATGTTTTTTTTTTTTGCGATGATTCTATTTCTTCTAATTTTATCACAAAAATCTAAAAATTTGCTATGCTAAATTTTGCAATTTCATTTCCTTGTAATATATATCTACATTTGCTATTTATACAATTGTTACTTTTATATCCTTAATTTTAGTTATAAAATATTTATTAATATTAAACATTTTTCTACAAGTTTGTATATATAAATAAAATTTAAGCAATTAATTTATATAAGCAAGATGTAATTATAAGATTTGTAATTTAATATTATATACTAATATTTGAAAATAAATCATTTATGTAATTAAAAGAATATAAGTAAAAGTACGAATTAGCGGTATTAAATGATCATTAAAATACAAGCAAATATCTGGAAATGTAAAGTAACCAAGATGGCCATATAGTCAGGCATTCTCATACAATTCTCATACCATTCTCATAAAAGCACTTTTATAATGCTTAAAATATACTTACATATTGAATTTAAAAAGACTCCATTCCATAATTTATACTACGCTATTCATATATATTATTTTATTTACTAATAAGAAGTCCTTTAGCTAAATTTTAAAATTCTTCATTCAATACTTAATGTATCATAAACTAAATATCTGTGAAAAAAGTAAATAATAGTAGCAAAAATATAATTATAAATAGAAATTTTAATTATTTTTTAAGAAATTCGAATTTTTATATACGTAAAGCATTTTATATTTATCTTAAAGAATTAAATCGTTTTGAAATTATGAAAATGATGAGACATTGAAAAGTTCTTACAAAATAAATGTAACTTCAAATACAAAAGTAGTAATTTTAGTATTTAAATGGAGACGTTGGTTTAGTCAAAGTTCGAATATTTGAAAGTTGAAATAGATTAAGAAACACTTTTTAAATCAAATATTGTATTTAGAATAGTAAATAATCTAAATAGATATTGAATTATGTGTTCATAGTTGAGTACGAATTAGTCGAAAATTTTTTTAATTCTATTGTATTCCAATTATAGCATATTTTAGAGGAAATGATGCTTAAATTTCAAATGAAAATATTGCTTTCTTTTATCAATGCATCCCTAATAATTGTAGTTATTTTACTTTCACGTTTATGATTAGTAGTTTATCATTTATTAAATTATTTAAGATGCTATATTATATTTAGCAATCTTAATTATTTTTTAAATGACTAGTTAATGTATCTGTTTATCAATTTGTACAATAAATTTATATCGTAAATATGTTCATTATATAATATATTTCGTTATAGTGTGTACATATCATTTATGATATCTTAAAAAAGAGAACTTTATTGATTTTATAGTATTCCTTTAAATGACAAATAAAAATTTAAATGAATGGGTAATTTTTAATATTTTTCAAATTATGAACTTTTATAATGAAATTTTATAAAATTTATAGTCTATTAATGTGTCTTGACAGTTTATTATATATATATATATATATATATATATTTTTATATACAAATAATTATGTATAAATTA